AGCCATGGCTTCACTGTGACCTCCCTTCTGTGAGATGCGCCCCATTGGTGTGCGGAGCCCACCCAGGCCTGTGCCCTGACTCCAGGACACACTGAGGACAGGGAGTTGGGTGGAGGGGAGGCGTACCCCTCACTAGACCCCGGGTAAGGAGGGGCCCCCAGCTGCCAACCCCCATCTCCCAGCAGTGCCCTCTAAAGTAGGCTGACACGCTGGTGTAGGGAATGAACCAAGGGTCCTAGGACATGCCAGGCCCGGGGCAGGCTCCCTGTGAGTGTCAGACGCCCCTCACCCTGGCCCACAGAGCCCACGGTGCCCACAGTGCCCACGGGGCCCACGGAGCCCACAGAGCCCACGGTGCCCACGGAGCCCACGGTGCCCACGGAGCCCACAGAGCCCACGGGGCCCACACGGAGCCCACGGGGCCCACAGAGCCTGGTGCCCAGAGACCATGGTGCCCATGGTGCCCACTCGAAGGACAGGACAGCCCACGACACAGCCTCCTCCTCCGAGGCTCTGGGCTCTGACACCTCAGGTGCCCTTGGGGGATCCGGGCCCCCATCCGGTCTGCCGTGGGCTCACTGCCCGGCCTGGTTTCTTCTGCTTCCAGATTTCTGCCGCGGGTTCCCCAGCCCAGGGGTCTCCCCAGCTCAGAGGGCTCCCCAGCCCAGGGGCCTCCAGATTGGGCCTCAGCCTTCCCATCCCCTGGCCCTTTCGTTCCTCAGCCCCAGAGTCTGCTCAGACCTGTGGCCCCCCCACCCCTGGCGTCTGGGGCCCCTGGCTCCCCCAGGAGGGCTTGTGCCGGGCCAGGGGCCGTGCTGGGCTGCCCACAGGGGTCTGCGGGAGCGTGCTCCGGGCTCCAGGGCTGACCAGACAGTGCCAGGCCCCGCCCAGGGTCTGCAGGTCTTGGAACGGAAGTCCACCACTTTGCCCCGGGCACAGGTGGGCAGACCCGCCTGGACGGTGTTCCCTGGGGGGTGTGGAACCCCTCACTCCAGGACGTCCCGGAGGACAGGCGGCTGTCACCAGCAGAGCCGGCCGGAGGCGGATGGGGACGGGATGGCCAGCAGGGGAGCCAGACGGGAGGGAAGGGCTCC